GTGCTAACTTCCGAGAAACGATTATTCATCTCTTGTATAATTAAATCAACAACCTGACATCACAACAATAATAAAATTAATAACTAAGAAAATCTGCTAACAAGTAACAAATGTAATGAAATAATAATTTCAAAAATAATACCTCACAAAAAATTTCCACGCGATAATGATGAAAATTAGTGATGGTTTGACCTCTGCGACTGCGCCTGGCATTGCCACGGATTGCTATACTGTCTTCCATATCAATCACGGGAATCATATTCAACTCACAAAAATTGTTGACTTCATCTAAAATTATTTGCCATCCCTCTTCCCTAAAGTCTTGCAATTGAGATTTCATAGTATCAATCAAACTCATGGCTTGGACAATATTTTGATCCCTTTGTTGCAAAACAAGTGACAAGTCATTTGTGATTCCCAATAAATACTTCATCAGGTGCAATGCAAAAACAAACTCATAATCATTCATTCTATCAATCAAACCCCTGGCCATACCTCTATTGTCAGAAGTGGAGGCATCATCTTGTATATTTCCCAATATTCCAATCACCGAAGCCCACATAGAGGATAGACGAAGTAATGTTAGATAGTGTGATCCCCAACGAGTATCCCCTGGTCTTGCTAAACTAGTTTCTTGATTTTTGCCTTTTCCACTAATAATATCTCCACTGTCTAAAAGTGCAACAATCTTATCATGTTCTATTTGTCTTAATTGATCTCTCCTTTTACATGATACTCCAGTTAAATTGACAATCATAGAGACATAGACAAAGAATTCACTGATAATGATATTTCCCTTAGCAACAGCAACAATAACTAACTGGAGTTGGTGAGCAAAACAGTGAATATACATCGCATAGGGATTTTCTTGTAATATAAGGGCCTTCAAACCATTGAACTCACCTCGCATATTTGAAGCTCCATCATATCCTTGACCTCTCAATTTGGATAATGATAATCCGTGTTGCGCGAATAAAGAATCAATTGCATCTTTCAAACAAAGAGATGTGGTGTCAGACACATGTACAATTGCAAGGAAACGTTCAATCACACGCCCTTCTTTGTTCACATATCTCAAAACAACTCCCATTTGCTCTTTCACTGAACTGTCTCGAGACTCATCAACTATTAGGGAAAAATAATTGTCTCCAATATCATTGATTATAACACTTGTGATCTCTGAGGCACAAGCATGTGCCAGATCTTTTTGAATCATTGGAGAAGTTAGTTGATTATTTGCAGGAGCATTTTGATTTACAACCTCAAAAATCTCAGTATTTCGCTGGCTATACCAATCAAACAATTCAAGAAAATTGCCTCTATTTGAAGAACTAGTTGACTCATCATTTCCACGAAAAGCCAATCCTTGCTTCAAAAGAAAGCGGGTCACATCCAGAGCAGCAGTTAAACGGGTGCGATATGCAATATCTATTTCGCGCCCACAAGATCGTAGCACATTTGACACACTATGCCTTTGATCTTGAAAACTTTCAAACTGTATTCTAGCATCATTATGGCAACTATTCACAGCTCCAATATGTTCATTAAATCTTTCCATTGCCTTTTTCCAATTATTGAATCCCGTTTTTGTAAAGGCATCCTCTGCATATCGACCTCCCTTATTTTGTGTTTTGAAAAGAAAGCACCAAAAGCAAAACGCCGCATCTTTCGATATGCTATACTCTAACCATACAAACTTTTGATACCAAATATCTTGGAAACTTCTATGTTGTTGACCAAATGATGTTTTTGGATACATATGGCCAATCGGTTGGCAAGGTCCCCTAGTCAAATACTCTCTTCGGACATGGTCTCGAAGAGAAATATCAAATTTCTCAACTGATTTTCGTAATCCCGGATCACTAACAATATCATTTAAATTCAATTCCACACAAGATTGATTTTGAACTGGTTCACTAATATTAGGCTCATTTGAAGATTCACCACTACGGACTCGTTTAGGTTTAAAGAATCTCTCCATTTTCTGTCACAATTAAATAATTGTGGTTAAATTCAATAAAATTATGCAATTCAATAATCAATTAATTTAAAATTCATATAAATAATTCTTTAATTTAATAATAAATTCATATTACTTATATTTCTCAATTTATAAAATTCATTATATAAAATTATCAAAAAGTTAAAATAAGGTACAACTAAATACCCATATAATTTCTAATTCAATCTCATAAAATTTTGAATTTATATTTACATTCAAAATTTCTAATTCACATAATTAATTCTTAAAATTTCAAATATAAAACTAACAAAATTTTAAAAACTAAATACAACCTAAAATCTATACAATTTCTAAACTAATTTCTAATTTAAATTTAATATCATTAAATTTTTTAATGTAATCTTTCAAATTCTTAAATTACATTAACATAAACTAAATAAAAATTAATCTTAATCAAATTAATATCAAGATACTCAAAATTCAAAAATAATTTAAACATATAATTAACAAAAATATAAAGATGAATATTGTAATTTAAACCAAAAAACTAACCTAAAAGATTTATGTGAATGGAATGGTGGAGAGTTGGAGTCTTGGAGCCTTGAATTGAAGGCTTGAAGCAGGATGGTAGAATCTCAAGTTCTCAACTGAAGCTTCTTGGAGTTCTTGGAGCCTGGCGTGAGTGGCGTCTTCTTCTTGGAGTTGGAGACTTGGAGTCTTGTTTCAGTTGTTTGCCCTTTGGCCTTTGGCATTGGCGGCGACGCGGCGTGCTTTTGCATCAGATGAAGCCTTAGGGCTTCATCTGATGTATTTTTTTTTTCCCTCATTATACAAAACGACATCGTTCCACTAAAAGTGAAACGACGTCGTTTTGTATTTAGAGGGCAAAAAAAAAATTCAACATAAATTGGGTCATCTTCTTCCTCGGACCTCAGCAGTCAGCAGACTCAGCAGTGCTGGCAGCGGCTTTCCAGGCCCAGCTATTCTTGAGGTCCTCTGCAGCATTCATGGAGGCATCAGGCATGGAGCCATGGACATGGACAGGCACGGATTTAAGGGGGGGCTGGTAGGGGCTGGTGGGGGCTGGCCGCCGGAATCCCCTATATATAGGGGATTTTCCGGCGGCTTGGGGGGGGCTTAAGCCCCCACCAGCCCCCCCTTAAATCCGTGCCTGGTTATGCAAGTCTTTGGCTCATGGTTGCATTGAGATAAGAAAAAATTATTCATTTCTTGCTAGTTACTTTTATTTTTGTGGCATTGCTGCCAAACTTATATCACTTTTTTATTTTACGCTCTAAGCTTCAATTTTGAACAGTTTACATCCTAAATTCTCAATTTTGGATACTTTATACCTTAAATCTCAAGCTTGTCCTATTTAAATCCAATCAATGACAACTTTATTCAAAATTAATGGTATAGAACATCCAACAAATCAAGGATAATGTGCCAAAAGTAATCAAAAGGTGCAAAGGTATCATATCAAAATAAAAACAATACATTATCATTAATTTGCACCATCTTTTATTTTGTTAATTTTGCTAACAGTATTAGTAATTGAGATCATATAAATAAATGATAATGTGATAAAAATGGTCAAAAAAAGCTAAGGATTTGTAGCTGGAACAAAAAGATACATTATTGTTAATTTTCATCACCTTTTATCTCATTAATTTTGTGAACATAATCATTGATTGGACTTAAATGGGACAAGTTTGAGAGTTTAGGGTGCAAAGTGTTCAAAATTAAGAGTTTGAGGTGAAATGTTTAAAAATTAAAGTTTAAGGTACAAAATAAGAAAATGATGCAAGTTTAGGAGTCCAAAATAGAATTAATCGTTCTTGCAAATATATAAGTTTTGAGTTAATTATTGTATTTTGTGGTTTATATATTTTGCTTTATTTTTTGAATGCTTACATTTTCGTTTTTGGGAGTTTCTATGAGGTCTAAACAACAAACCAAAATTCTCGAATAAGAATCACTATTGATCAATAGAATGAAAAAGAAATTTATCTCCAGTACTATTTGTATTCAGACAGGTTAATTTGTCCACAATATCTAGCTACGAGTACATGGTGCAACTTTGACTCTGTTCGTGCATAGCAAATTCTTGGTCTGACAAAGTTGCAAGTCGGCTTTGATATGATTTTCTGTGAATGTGTCCTAATAATGTCAAGGCAAATTTAACAAAGTCTTGAACCCATTTGGATTGCTATATTTTAGAATTTTTATATAAAAAATGTACTACAAGAATTTGATGTATATATGATAAAAAGATAATTGAAAAATATGTTAGTAAAAAACGTGAAATTTTTTTTTTTAAGAAAACTACAATCCACACATAGGTTGCCACTTATGTCTTTAAAGAAAACTAACATTTTTGCCTAATTGAAAGATGTTATCCTCTGGATTATGATTGCAAGCACCTTTCGCCTTGGAAGTTACAAAATTCACAAGTGAAAATTTTGTCAAATCACAATTTGATTGTTCCCAAACCATTTTCTTCAGGTTAGCAAGACCGGGATTAAACTTACTGTTATTGTGGCACACCATTTGCTCCACTTTCTATTGTACATATTACAAAGGAGATGAACTTTTGTAACGAAAAGTGTAGTATCAACAGTGCTACCCTTTCGTAACAATTTGTAATTCAATTTTCTAGTACCAAAATATTTTTTATTTATTGGTTTACCCTTCTTTTCACTTTGCATCCGTCTTAGTAACTCTTCCACATTTTTGGGTCAATGAAAAGTTGAGGAAGAGAAAATTACCACATTCTAAGGGTTGAGCAAGTTATCGATGCATTTTTCAGCAACTTACTGTTATTCTTATGGGTTGCTTCTCAACCGAAGACCACTGGAAGCGAATCTTGAATCCAAACTTTACATAGACTAGGAGGGAATCACCGCGCGATGCGCGGTGTTAATTTCATGTTGCCCAGAAAATGCCCAAATTCATAAGTGGAGATATCATGATTTGGATGCATTGCATTTAAGTTATTTCGTTATAAAATGATTAAACTTTTAAATAAGCGAAAGCGTGAGCAAATAAATGGGTAACTTTTCTCGATTTCCAATTGCTATGCATGTTTAGCTAATCCTTATCCCTTCTCACCATTTCAAATTTACGTGATCCTTATCCGTTAATCTTATGAACTAATCTGGAACACAGAAAATTGAAATCACATCTACAAAACCATTCAGCCTTTTTTTTTCTTCCAAGGAGACAGTAGCATCGAACTTCTTAATTGCCTTCGATGTGCATATAGCAACTCTTAGACGACGACTGACTCAATGTGAAACCTAAAATGTTTTAATTTTCGAAAGGACTTCTCAGAGATAGAGGCAGGAATTTCTCGATGACCGTACACGTCAGGAGTCCATCCAGGAAAGTGTGGTACATCCTCTTTCCGTCTCCTATTTGCAGAAGTCCCAAGTACTCTGAATGAGCCTCACGAAGCCCAGACTGCGTGGGGTGGTTCATGCTAACCACCAGACTGACGGAACCACATACACAAGAAGGCACCCTTGGCTTCGTCTTCACCTCTCCGAGCCACTGCATTTCCGCCAGTGGACAGCATCATGCGGAACAAAGCCCATTCACTATCATTAGTTCTTAATCGTTCGTCGACTGCCTCGAGCCAGCAAGATATCTCTCCCGAACAAGGTAAGAGGAAGCTGGGTAGATGAAGTTTGTATGATCTATCAACGACCAGCACCAGTTACTATCACGACATTGGCAGTCCCATATATTTAGTCCCTAGAATGTTGCATAAGCTCAAACCACTGCACGTAAAATACAGAAAAAATTGGTTAGACTCGGATCATAATATATAGTGCTACAGTAGTATTCCATACCTTTTAGGCCTGAGAGAGAGAGAGAGGGGGGGGAGGGGGGAACAGAACCATCTCACACACTTAGAAATATACTCTCTATTTAAAACGTTACTATGAAGCTTTGGTCTGACTATGTTCAATTTTTTTGGTTTTGTCATGTCTACGTAGTAATTGCTAAGCATCAGCTGTGTTGCATAGAAACACGGTGGAGTCAATAATCATCTAGTTCATATTTTCTCTCATGCAGAAATGGAGATATTCTATGGAATCAACAAACTCAATAAGATAAATACAAAATTCTGATTTTAGGTCCATGTAAACTTTCTTGCTTTCCAGTTTTACCTACTACAAACAAATTAATAGTTTTGGCATTTTGTCAAACACTTGATTTCATATAAATATCATTGCATTATTACAGAAATTTAGAATTAAAAAAATTCTCAAATGACATCTATAAAATACTCAAATGACTACAAATTCTAGTAACATTATATCAACTTTCATGTTTCAAAGGTTTAGGAAACATGCCACAACCTAATCTTTTGAAGGCCAACTAATCCATGATAACCAATATCAAAACTTACACCTAATAGGTTATAATCATAAATAAATCAACAATTCAAGGGAAAATAAAAAAAATTTTACAAAAGGACAGAGCAAAAAACCTGTAATGTGACAAAATCAAGGATAACCTCTTCTGCAAGGAAAAAAAATGCAAGATGATGTTTAGGGTACAAATGGCAATGAAATAGATACAGTCAAATATTCATTTACTATAACCTACCCAAAATATATATATATATATTCGCTTACTATTACATACAAAAGGCTGGAAAATAATCCCTCACTACATAACCTAGATTATTTCGAAAAAGAATTGAAGAATTTTCCCAAACTTTGACATGAAATATAAAAAAAAACGTAAATTAGGAAAAAAGAAACCAGGAAAAATTTCTTATAAAGGCATTAGATCGGGAAAAGTTCCAAAAAACTTTCTCAGATTTGTTAAATCCTTTTTAATACTTTTTGGCCAAGAACAAAATTGAGATACAAATACGGCAAGAGAAGGAAGAATACCAGGCAAAAGGGGGGGGGGGGGAAGAGCAAAACTAACCACGTGTTTTAGAACACAATTTTAAAAACAGAGAAAAAAATCTTACAGAGTCTCACAAGAATGCTGGAAGAGTTTCCAAAATTTTCACCTGCAATATCACAAATAAATACGAATTAGATTAGTTCAGACAACTAAACCAAAAAAGAAAAATAGAAGGCTAGAGAAAATCAGGGAGGGAAAGAAAAAAATACCAACCATCTGTTTTGGTCCTGATGTTGCCGGTCATGGAGAATAAGAGAGATATCCTTAACTATAGACACAGAGATCCCGTGGGATCCTACATGTACATGCAACATATCTGGCATTCCGTAATCAGACGCTAGACACAGCCACCGGAGATCTAACGTCAGTTTGGTACTCACATAAACAAAATCACACAATACTATACTATTAGTCCATCACTATCAAAGAACCAGTACACAACTGCCAAATACTTGCAAGGTTTAAGAGACAATACAGACCTGCCAACTTTCTTCAAATTACCTGCTATATATGCCATGCCTCCATATACCGCCATTGCAACGAAAAAAAATACCTGGGCATGGTGATGTAAAACGAAACCCGCCTATATAGAGCAGTCCCTGGCCTTTGGCTTTCCCCTGTCTTCGCATCACTGTCCTTCCATCTCGCATGCTCACACAGTGGGAGTGCGGTGGTCTTCTGCTGAGAATATAAATGCGCAAGACAACATCACTACAATTTATTTCCCATTTTGCCGTTCCCTCACCGTGTTTTCATGGAGCCACGAGGTGTTCTCCTCTTAGGTTTCATCTGCGTTATCGTCGCCGGCGTCGGTGGCCAAGCTCCGCCCAGCCCACCCACCACTACTTCCTCTCCTCCTACTCCCACTGCACCCACCACAGCTCCCCCTGCTCCTCCTACTCCCACAGCTTCACCTCCCCCTACCACCAATCCACCTCCAACTCCAACTCCAACATCATCCCCGCCCCCTGTACCTTCATCTCCTCCTCTCGTAGTGTCGTCGCCTCCGCCAACTGTCACTTCTCCATAGAAGGGATTTGGGGGTGTCGAGGAAAATGAAGAAGAAAAGAGAGAGATGGTCTTAGAGAGAGAGAGAGAGAGAGGAGAATAGCGATGAACAAGGAGAAAGAGAACCCTTCTTAATTGTGATGTATCGAGCCATGCGCTAGTCCCATCTCGGCAGAATACGTCAGAAAAAAAAGAACAAGGGGTACAGTAGCCGTGGTGGTCCGGTGGTTTGAGTATGAGAGGAGAAAACAACGATGAGAGAGAAACACTTGATGGGAGACGGGAGACACTTAATGGGAATAGGAATCTCGAGCCCACCCCATTTGTCGTTCCAACCAAGGAGCAGATAAGGGAACAAGAAAACTCTCCAATATTTCTAGCTGGGCACGTGATTTTGGCATGAGGAGGACGACCACATTTGAACCAATGAGAGCTTGACACATCAGCAGACGACCACTCTTTTGCCAAAACTCATTCGCGCTTTTACTATATAGGTTGATGAGGTGGGTGAGCTTTTCCCGACCCTTGTTGGCATTCTTGCTTCAAGTTATCGAAGCGCTAGTGAACTTTGTGAACATGAAAATGAAGCTAGTAGCATAACCGCTTAATCAACGGGACTGGGGATTTTCGTATAGTTACTCTGTTGTACTTTCTACACTATATAATATGTGCTTATATAAGTTTTATTTGTGGACATCATATAAAAATATAAAATACACTCGTTATTGTAAACGTATACTTGCATTGTATATGTAGTATATCAACCACAATTAGTCGAATCTAAGTCAACCATATGTATCCCATTTCCCAATCAACGGGCCTCGTTTTCAAGCCTATACTGGTACAAGTATTCATAACTTAAACCTAGTCATGAACTCCAAAGAAATTGCTAAACTAAATCAACTGCTCGTAATATTTGTAGTGGAGATCCACACCATTTTTACTTTCCAATCGGCTCATTGAAAAACAAAAAGCCCGATCCACACCATTTTAATTATTTTTTACCTCGTCTATGCCAACAAGCCCGATCCACACCATTTTAATTTCCGATCTAGCCTGAAAGTTAAACCTGATGATTGGCCTTTCTTGTTGCTGGGCTTCATTCACATAGATGAAAAGATTTTAGGTTTGCGGTAATGTCACGGCCCTAGCCAATAGGCTAGAAAGATCACGCCATACACCAATATTGTGAAATTTAAGTATACTGGGTCACTCTTATTCATGTCAAGATGACAAAGTTGGACGTGAAATTTTAAATTTTAAATTAAATAAAAGCCCAAATGTAAACAAGTCAAACCATCACCCATAAAGGGTCACATAAAAAAAAAAAATTTGCTTCCAAACTTTTATGGGATAATTGCAGAAACCTCCCCTAACTTTTATAGTAATAGCATTGACCTCCCCTATCAATTTTAAAATAGCACTTACCTCCCCTATCAAAAGTTGGAGGCAATTTAATAGGCAAAAGTGGGTCAATTTACTAAAGTACCCCTGCCATGATTTAATTTTACCAAATGAATGTGATGAGTACTTTCATCAAACCCAACAAAACATTTGTTAATAAATATTACACTAAATTAACTATTTCTGCATAGTTTAACTAATTAACTAAATAATTAATAATCTAATTAATTAATAACTAATTATCTAATTAACTAATTATCTAATTGTTAATAGTTATTAACTAATCAAACTATTTCTGCATAATTAAACTAATTAACTATTAACTAATTAATTAATTAACTAATTAACTAATTTCTATTTATCTAATTAACTAATCACTATTTATCTAATTAACTAATTAACTAAACCTGTGGTCTGTCCGAAACTAATAAACTATTTGCATGTTAAACTAATTAACTAATTAGTTGCTTAACTAATTAACTACCTAATTATCTAATTAATCAATTAACTAATTAACTAATTTTTGTTTATCTAATTAACTAATTATCTAATTAACTAAAGTTGTTGTCTATCCGAAACTAATAAACTATTTGCAGGTTAAACTAATTAACTAATTAACTGCTTAACTAATTAACTAAAGCTGTTGTCTATCCTAAACTAACAAACTATTTGCATGTTAAACTAATTAACTAATTAACTGCTTAACTAATTAACTAACTAATTATCCAATTAATTAATTAACTAATTTTTATTTATCTAATTAACTAATTATCTAATTATCTAATTAACTAATTAACTAAAGTTGTTGTCTATCCGAAACTAATAAACTATTTGCATGTTAAACTAATTAACTAATTAATCGCTTAACTAATTAACTAATTAACTAAAGCTGTTGTCTGTCCGAAACTAACAACTATTTGCATGTTAAACTAATTAACTAATTAACTACTTAACTAATTATCTAATTAATTAATTAACTAATTAACTACTTAACTAATTAACTAACTAATTATCTAATTAATTAATTAAATAATTAACTCATTTCTGTTTATCTAATTAGCTTAACTAATTAACTAACTAGTTATCTAATTAATTAATTAATTAACTAATTAACTAATTTCTATTTATCTAATTAACTAATTAACTAAAACTATTGTCTGTCTGAAACTAACAAACTATTTGCATGTTAAACTAATTAACTAATTAATTAGCTAACTAATTAACTAATTAATTAGCTAACTAATTAACAAACTATTTGCATGTTAAACTATATGCAGTACGCATTACCTATTTAAAGTATCGGCTCTTTATAGGTATTTTACTTTCAAACATTTAATTTATGATAAAAATATCAATATTTGTAAATAAAATTCAAAAAGTATTACAAAAAATATCAATATTCTTATTTTCAAACATTTAATTTATGGCCCTATGCCCCTCCCTTTTTGTAAGAATATTACTGTAACACTTTTTGAATTTTACTTACAAACATTGATGTTTTTATCATAAATTAAATGTTTGAAAGTAAAATACCCATAAAGAGCCGATACTTTAAATAGATAATGCGTACTGCATATAGTTTAACATGCAAATAGTCTGTTAATTAGTTAGTTAGTTAATTAGTTGTTTAGTTAAGCAGTTAATTAGTTAATTAGTTTAGCATGCAAATAGTTTGTTAGTTTCGGACAGACAACAACTTTAGTTAATTAGTTAATTAGTTAAGCAGTTAATTAGATAAATAGAAATTAGTTAATTAGTTAATTAATTAGTTAATTAGTTAATTAGATAATTAATTAGTTAATAATTAATCAGATAATTAGTTAATAGTTAATTAGTTTAACTATTAACTAATTAGATAATTAGTTAAGCAATTGTCAAACAAATAATAATTGTCAACCAAGAAGAGGGCAAAATTGGAAGAAATTTCTTATCTCACTTCTACAAAAGCTGTCAGGGAGGTTTCTGCAACGAATTGTTACTGTTCAGGGGAGGTGAATGCAATTTCAAAATCTAGAGGGGAGGTCAGTGTAAATGTCAGAAATCTCAGGGGAGGTTTCTGCAATTATCCCAACTTTTATTGATTAAAAACCCATGACAAATTTCCTCTTTTTTTTTGATAAAAGCAAATTACATTAACAAATTGCTGGAAATAGGGCTACAAAGGAATCAAACTACTTGTGAGCTCTCGCAAGTCGACTCGATCAAAGTTTGATTAATTTCAGTCGACATCAAGTTTGAGTCGAACTAGAATTGATCAAATCAAGTTATCTAACTCGAGTCGAGCATAAAGAAGTTCAGGTGCTCGACTTGAGCTCGTCAAAGTTGAGCCCAAGTTGAGTTCGAGCTACTCGATTGAGTCTGCAAGTCAAGCTCGAGTAGGGATATTATGTACTTAAGAGCTTGTCGAGTTCTATCGAGTACTCGCTATAATATTTAATTACTATTTTAAAAATAACTAAATTATTCCTTCAGTTGGACGAGCTCGACATTGAACTCGAGTATTGACTCGATCTCTAACGAGTCGAGCTCGAGCCTGGAATATATTGTTTCAAGTCGAGGTCGAGTGCAGTATAACTTACTCCATTGAGTTTGAGCTCAAGCAGTGTGTTTGATCATCGAGCTCGAGTTTGAGTATGGGGATATTCGAGCTAGACTTGAATCGATGTCACCTCTATTACAAAGTATCACATGCGAGTCTACATCAAGTACAATACAAATCACTCAGGGGAAGAACCTTCACAAGATTAAAGAAGAAAAGGATGAAGAAGAATTATATCAGTGATTTTGCAACTAATCAAGAAGTGGCAATCAAAATTTCATGAGTTTAAAGATTGCTTATCAGGACATCATGCCAACTATGTATTGATAGTGTGGGAGTCATTTCAATTGAAGATTGATAGTGCATACATAAATATGTTAGAACAGGTTGGTGTACATATTCCCATGTAAAATTTTTTCCTTCTAGGTTAAAAGAATATTTTAATGCTCTTGCTACTGCCAATATTAATTGCTTCTAATTCATATTTAATAGCCTTTTAAAATATGGAAAATCATGGCAGATATGCTCAGAAGGTTAATGCAGTTTGATAAAAAAGGTAACCGTGTATTTAAGAAATACAAAACAAATCAACGTCTTTTCTTTGGAAAGTAAATATTCAAGATTAATTGGACAAAATAGAGGGAAATACGGGAAAATAAAACAGTAACGCATTAATCAATGTAAAAATCAATAGAAGGAAGAAAAAAAGGCAAGAGGATCGTGAGAATGAAATTCTAAGTTACATTTGGAGTAAAATGTTATTCTTTATATTCTAATGATAATAAAAAAAACACACTAGCAATCTTTATGATAATGAGTACGAGTTAGTTAAAAGCTAAAAATGTTAAATAATTTGCTGGTATCAAAGACTAAATAACATGGAATTGGGGCAGTATGGTTGGGTTGGGTATGGTTGTTGTACTTTATTCATAATTTAATGTACACTTATAGATGCAGTTCTATTTATGCATTGAATTAATATGCACGAATA